TGGTGGTTTGGGGGGAAAATTGAGGGTTTGGAGGATTTGGGATTCCGGAATTCCCAAAAAATTCCCAAAAATTCCCAAAAATTCCCAAAAATTCCCAAAAATTCCCAAAAATTCCCAAATTTTGGGGACTTTAGGGGACCTTCAGCCCGGCCAGCGACGCCTGGGCCTTCGGGGCGACGCTCTGGGAGGAGCAGAAACCCCAAAATTCACCAAAATTTGTCAAAATTCGCCAAAATCGCCCAACGCCAAACCCCGAATTCGGAATTCCCGAGTTCTGGAATATCGGAATTCCCAAATTTTGGGGATTTTAGGGGACGTTCAGCCCGGCCAGCGACGCCTGGGCCTTCGGGGTGACGCTCTGGGAGGTGCTGACGCGCTGCCGGGAGCAGCCGTACGGGGCCCTGAGCGACGAGCAGGTGATCGCCAACGCCGGGCACCACTTCCGGAACCGCGGGCAACAGGTGGGACTGGGACGGACTGGGAGGGACTGGGAGGGGAGTGGGAGGGAGTGGGATGGACTGGGATGGACTGGGATGGACTGGGAGGGGATTGGGATGGACTGGGATGGACTGGGAGGGACTGGGAGGGGAGTGGGAGGGAGTGGGAGGGAGTGGGATGGGCTGGGAGATGATTGGGATTGACTGGGATGGACTGGGACAAAACTGGGAGGGACTGGGAGGGGAATAGGAGGGACTGGGATGGACTGGGATGGACTAAGAGGGACTGGGATAGACTGTGAGGGGAATGGGAGGGACTGGGACAAACTGAGAGGGACTGGGAGGGGAATGGAAGTGGATTTGGATCGACTGGGAGGGACTGGGAGATGATTGGGATGGACTGGGATGGACTGGGAGGGACTGGAAGGGACTGGGACGAACTGGGTGGGACTGGGAGGGGAATGGGAAGGGAATGAAAGTTGATTGGGATTGACTGGGAGAGAGTGAGAGATGATTGGGATTGACTGGGATGAAACTGGGAGGGACTGGGAGAGACTGGGAACCAGTAAGACTCAATGGGAGGTGGTGGGAATGGACTGGGAGGGAGTGGGAGGGGAGTGGGAGTTACTGGGATGGACTGGGAGAGACTGGGATGGGATTAGGGGGCACTGGGAGGGAGTGGAAGGGAGTGGGATGAACTGGGAGGGACTGGGAATGGACTGGGATGGGCTCACGGGGCCCAGTCCCCCCCCCAGTCCGTCCCAGTCCATCCCAGTAACCCCAGTTCCCAGGAGTACCTGCCCTGCCCCCCCGGCTGCCCCCCGGCCCTGCACCGGCTGATGTTGAACTGCTGGGCCCGGGAGGCGACCGAGAGGCCGGACTTTGGCCACCTGCACCGGACCCTGAGTGACCACCACCATCAGCATCA